TTAATGGTGTAACGAAAGTGTCAAAAAATTTTCTGTCGTTGAAATAGACCAGGCGATATGCATTGAACAGATGTCATCATTCATTTGAAAAAAGGCACCCCAATCCTACCTTAACTTAACCTCTTTTCTAAAGTAATAAATATGTTGATACAATAGTTGTTGGTGAAAATGAATAACCTACTGCCCTTTATTAAAATGATTAATTTTCTCCATATCCATAGAAATTAATATTACAAATGTATATGCTTATAAAGCTCCGTAAATTTCAAAATTAGTTATTCTAAAATTCACTTATGTACTAATACCTTTGGTAAAGGTATGAATCTTCTTCTTCCCCCTCTAGCTATGAGCAAATTACAGGAAAGACTGGGTTCTATAGCCTTGGATGGCACCTGGTCTAGGAGAAGGACAACTCTGACTTCAAAACCTGCGTAGGGTTGTTTGGGGACCTTGTGGCCTGTAGTGCACGAGGTCTCTGTATTCGGCCCTTCAAAAAGTGTGTATGGTTCTGCACGAAACCTTCACCACTATAATCAAATCTCATGTGCTGGTGTCTGGGCTTTTGGTTCCTAGGAACTGAGCTGCTTGACACTCATACATTGAAAACAAGACAAAATATGCAATGTTAATTTTTAAATAAACAAATGTTAGAAATAGAAATCTGATTTAATTGACTTCTCTATTTATTCACATTTGGCAAGCAGGTGATTTTCTATTTTCCTCTTTGCTTTTTCAAACCACCTTTCTTCTTTATGTGCCACAAAATGACTTCATAAAAAAATTCTGCACTTAATTGTAAATAATTTGGAACATGAAAACTTCCAGTCACTTCACATCGAATGTATTTTTCTCTTTTTTTTGTTAAGTGTTCAAATTTCTTGTCTAACTCATGATTCTTTCTTGTCTGACAGATAATGTCTGTATATTTATAATTCATAATTGTCTCTTGATATATTGCAGAAAGTGATTTTCTTTATAAAGTCTTACATTGATATTGATGGTGAAATGGTAGCCACTTAATTTCATTCCTTATTTTTCTGACAGTATCACCTTCCATTAATGCAATTATTTATTGAAACTTCCAAATGTCAAAACAAATATCAATATTGCCGTGATTATTCCTTCTATTAACGTTATTTTATTCTAGTCACTTTTTACTTCAATGAATTTCGTCATAGCTTCTCTTATCCTTGTTGTTATTATTTGCATCATCAAACCTGGGAGTTTTTTTTGGGGGGTGGGGGTGTCATTACTTGGGAAAATTATACTACATCATCATACCAGAGGTTTTTGGTAGTCATTCATTGGGGAAATTATTCTGCATTATCACACTTGGGTTTTTTGGTAACCATTGCTTGCGGAAATTATTCTATGTCATCACAGAAAGTGCTTTTTATTGCCATTGGAAACAAATAACATGAAGTCACTTCAAATCTTTTGCCCTCTTTTCAAAATTTCTGCTTGTATTGGAATTGTTTGAGTATTTTCCCATATCTCTAACTTTTGCAATGTTTTTGTTATTCCTGGTATTTTAGTAATTATGGGTGCAACTTTCAGTTTGTATATTTTTTTTGCAACTATTAAGGAAGTTCCTTTATTGTTTCAATCTATATTCATTGTCAGTTTTACATTTTCTGCAATTCAATCTGATCTTTTTTTTTTAATCTAAAGTGAAAAGTTATTTTTACTTTTTTGTATGCAAAGTCAGGTGTTTATTGAATAAAGTAATTTGTACAATTCTCAATAAGCCACTGTTCAAACCCAGTTGTGTCGTTTTTTTGTTTGTTTCTTTTGGGGCGGGGGTGTTCATATTGTAGCAGCCAATTTCTTCCATTTTGCTGCATTCTATTATTGCCATTGCAATTGACAGAGTATGGGGTTATTTATTTGATTTCTACTCATAAAAGCCTAGATTTTCTGCTAGTTTCAAATTGGTGTCACATGACATGGTGTTTCAGTTGACCCATTCATTATGCTTGATGGATATTTCAGTCATTGCTGTTTTTATGGTTCAACTGTGAATGACGAAATCTGCCACAAATATACAACTATAACTCAATTTATATGATAAAGATTCTCATTTTATTGTGATTGATGAAAATTCAGTTTTATGTGTGCCATGCCATCAAACAGACTCTCCTTCTTTCGACCAATCAGTACTCAAAAGCTATTTAGTCCAAGAGAGTAATCTTTGAATTATGGCCACTTCTTGAAGAGGAGAAAAATGCCACATTTATACAGTTAAATGTATGTTAATAATGTGGATTTTAGAAGCAAGCAAAATGCACTAAAATGCTGAAATGAATTTTTTTTTTTTTTTTTGAAAGAGAAAATGATGTTTTAAAAGTGTTTGAGAAATAAAATAAGAAATTGTTTCATTTATGCAGAAAATGACAGAAGCAGAAAGTTACAGGAAATATGTGCAACAAAGATGTTAGGTCAGATCAAAGTAAATCTTTGGGAAAAATTTTATTATTGTGTATTTGACCAAATTGGTGAATACCAGCATAAGCCATGAATAAACATTTTTTAGATTTTCATGTTTTGCTTTTAGCCAAAAATATTTGTTCTGTTGACCTTTATTAGGGCGTTTAATTTTCACAATCTTAAAAACACAAGATGCACAGATGAAACCATAAGACTGATATCCAATTATGGCCAGTCAATTTTTGAGTCTTGTCATGTCTCTTACTTATAATAATCAGTACAATATGGTTACTAGCTAAATAGCCATCCTATGAAGAGAGAACGAATCAAGTTGTAATAAATGTTCTTTAAATGATTTTATTAATAATAAAATTAATTGGATTAATTGATTAATTGATTCCTTCCGCTCATTGAAATAATTATCTTCTTCAATTCAAGTTATTTTTAGAAGGCAAGATTATGTTTATTTCATGTTTTCTTTTAATGTAAACACATTGATATACTTTTCTGCTAATTTATGACTGAAATTTGACAAGCTCGACATAAATCTTCTTTAGATACAAACATGACAAATTTAGAAATAACTAAACTTTATTGGCAGAAAACATTGCTTATATATAATAAATTTCAAGATTTGGGCTAAAAATAAATAATAGAGGAAATATTTCTGAAAATATTCTTTTAAAAATAGTTATGGAAATTTAAATGTTAACGTTATAAATGCCATTTTTGAGAAATGTATATAAAAATATATATAATGTTGATGAAGGCACAGGGGAGTAATGGATAATGGCTCGGATTGTGGAATTGGAAAGCCAAGTTCAAATTCCAGTTTAGATCATTACATTCCCTTATGTACTAATAGCCTCGGGAAAGGTATGAATCCCTTGCTTCTCCTTCCCCCGACTGAGCTAAGGGTAAATATCAGGACAGACTGAGTCCTATATCCTTGGGTGGCAACCAGTCTAGGAGAAGGAAAACTCTGAATTCAAAACCAAATTGGAGAGGGTTGAGCTCCATCAGGCTATCTTGCCCAAGAAACACATTGCTACTGCAACTGCAGTACATGTGATGTCCCAAGTTTCATGATGATGATATAAAAAGCTGATGAGAAAATGATTGTTTATCAATGTGGACTGTTTGGTTTGGTTATGTAAGGGGGTGGCTAACATAGACAAAATTTAGCTTCACCTTAATTTATAAAAGATGAAATTGTTCCCAAAATTGATATTTTTCTAAAACAAAAGATAAAATCAGTGAAAGGAAAATAATTTATCAATTCAGCACCTGGAAACATTACTTTCATGAAATATTTAAAGAAATAAGTATTTTATATAATTATTTTTTGAATAATTAAAATAGTTTAAACTTTATATTTTAACACTTATTGGTCACCAATCTTCAGTTTTTTAGAGAATCGTAATAAATACCATCAATATTTCAAGCATTGTTTTATTATTTCAGGTTTTGTTTCACTTACTTAAATATCCAACCATTGTTGATATTTTAGCAGATGATACTGTAATATTGTAAATGTAAAGATTAGCCCTGAAGTAATTTGATGTCAATTTTTTTCCATATGAAGCAGTTAAACATTTTTTTTCAGATATTCATCTTACTTTTTGCTGCTAGATTAGAAATTTTATTCTATTTGCCCTTCTAGAATATGAGTGGCTTTTATTTTTTTACTAGCTTCATTCAAAAATATCATCTTTGATCTTATTGCGATGTTTCTATATCAGCATGCATTTTTAAAACCCTTTTCTTTTATCTAAATTAACCTATTTCTAATATTGCAGATAGAGGAAATTAAGCAACATTATCAGAATTGTATGTTTTTCATTTTAAGAAAGTCTAATACCCTTGCAGAAGGCATGAATGCATCTTTTCTACCCCTGGCTATGGGTTAAATAGCAGAGAAAATAGTGCTCCCTGACCTTGGATGACAGTCAGTCTCAGAAAGAACATCTATGAATTTGAAAATACAGAGAACTACTCTACAATCATTCCTGAAATATCTTGAACATTAAAATGTTAAAGGAAAAGAAGTTTGGGTAAACTCAAGTATTTACATCCTGAAAGGATATGACAATTTAAAAAATATGCTTCAAAGCAAGAATTTTCATTCTTACTTATTATATCTGATAGAACTCATTCTTTATCTATTCACAACTGTCTGTATCTCCATATCTGTTGGGGCGCACCCACCTTCTAACTAGTAATGGACTGGTCCCTCTTATATAAGTCAGCTCTGGAGAGAGAGTGACAGAGCGTCAGAGAGAGAGTCAGCGTTAGCAGTCCAGATAAGCTGACCCGGTACATACCGTTGGACTATAGACTTTGGATATTGTTTCGTACTAACCAACCTTCCTTCTACTAATCACTCTATTGTTAATTTCTTTTATGAATATACCAGTATTTTCCTCTACAACTGTGTTTGTCTTGATTCATACACCGGCACGCGGGAAACTCACAACATCTCAACAATATCCCTACCCTTCATTCTTCATCTGTTCAAGTCACTCAGTCTTGCCTGTTTCCTATCTCTCTATATTCATTCTTCATCTGTTCACATGACACTATCTTACCCTGATCCCATCCATTCTTCATTTGTTCACATGACACTATCTTACCCTGATCCCGTCCATTCTTCATTTGTTCACGTGACACTATCTTACCCTGATCCCGTCCATTCTTCATCTGTTCACGTGACTCTATTTTACCCTGATCCTATCCATTCTTCATTTGTTCACATGACACTATCTTACCCTGATCCCGTCCATTCTTCATCTGTTCACGTGACTCTATCTCACCCTGATCCTATCCATTCTTCATTTGTTCACATGACACTATCTTACCCTGATCCCATTCATTCTTCATCTGTTCACATTACACTATCTTACCCTGATCCCGTCCATTCTTCATCTGTTCACGTGACTCTATCTTACCCTGATCCTATCCATTCTTCATTTGTTCACATGACACTATCTTACCCTGATCCCATCCATTCTTCATCTGTTCACGTGACTCTATCTTACCCTGAACCAACCACTCTGTATTTATTCTTCATCAGTTCATAACATTCTACCTTAACCTGTCCCTACCTCTCTATATTTATTTTTCATCTGTTCATATCTCTCTATATCCCTGTGTCCCTACCAATCTATATATTTACCTAAACCTCATTTAGACCAGAATCTTTGTCTTTTCTTTATATTACCACATTTTCAAAATGATACATTCTTCCAAACACTTAAATAAACAAAAGTAACAGGTTTCAGCTAAGCACTGAACTTTTATCCCGTGCTACAGGATCTTGCTATGTCATGTAGCAGTGATTATTTTGTTGTTGTTAATTAAGCAGTTGATAGTCAGATGTTATTCTTATCTCTCTCTTTTTAATTCTACTCACTCTTGTTTTTTGCTATCTCTTTTCTCCATTTATTGTTAACCATCCAGTAATAGTCCTTGAAATTATTTGTGCTTTTTATGATAAAATACTGTCACTAAACCTTTTTGGCATAGTCTCTGAATCTTTCTTTTGCAGTATATCTCACTTTAACTTTAAATTGATTGAATTTAGAAAAAAAGCAATAAATGTTCAATGAGATTTGAACATACATTTAATATATTAGGAACTTGCTATGCCATGTAGCAATGTCAAATAACTTAGAGGAACTGAATTCTTCTCCTTATAATCTTTTTTTTTTTTTTTTCAACCCTCACCCTTGCTCTCTGCATCATTTTGGTAACTATCAATTCAGTAATTCTGAAATTCGAGTAATTTTAACTCTTATTACTAAATATAATAACTTTGTATTATTGATGGTAGGTGATATATCCTGTGTATAGGTGAATAAGAAGAGGCTGAGAGATGAATAAATTGGCATAAAGAAACTAATTTCAATACTTGCCTCAGATTTTTATGGATGTTTTTATTAAACAAATTTGAGAGTAAAATTTTCATTTTTTTTGTTTCTCTTGCTTTATACCAGAACATTTTATAGCAGACATATTTCTTAGGACTTAATTCACATATATACAGAGTATGTGTTTGTGCATGTGTGTGTCCAAGCAGCTTCTCCACTCCCAGTGGTCCAATTTCAATGTTTCATAGCTCACTCAAAAGCCCTAGAAAAGTTAGGTTGATTTTTGTTGAGCTCAAATTCAGGGTGGCCAGATTATGTGAGGTTAAAAATATATATTGATATATTATACTAGCCATTATTGTTGCTTTCATGGTTTAAGGGTAGTAACTATTATTTTCCTTTTGTATTCAAAATTGCAGCTAGCTAAAATTTTAAGGTAACTTAAAAGCCTATCGGTTGGCATTTAAGCTAGCTCCTGTGGAGAACTCTTGGTTTGTCCATCATCACAATAGCTAGAGAAGAGACAATAGGCATCAATAAACTACAGAAGGACTCAAAATTGAATTAATGTTTAAGGTTACCTTTTAAAAGTTCAATGATAATTCTTCTGCTGCCACTTAAAGATGATTTGGTGTATGTAGATCATTATTTTCTGTACAACCAGTTATTTTTATTTCATGGATGACAGAACAGGGGACAATTTATAAGATAAAATTAATATAGTGTAAATATAGGAAAATAGAAATTAGAATTGGTTATACATTCAACATTTAAAGAGTTAGAGAAACATAATGTCTAATTAAGTAAAACCTATATTATGGAATCGATATGAATAAATGTGAAATTGGAGCTCAATTCTCCCACAAATTCTGAGATTAAAAAGCCCCAGCTCTATTTTATAGTAGTTTACAAAATAAAAGTTCAATATTTACATTATTTGGACTATTGTCCACATCCAAATAATGTAAATAGTGTACATAATACCTCATCTCAGAAATATAGACAGATACTAAAAGTTCAATATCTGTATTATATATTACCTACTTATAGGTGATATCACTCTCCAGGTTTAACTAATTTGCATATTGATTTTAAAAAAAGTTTATTTCATTAACTGCCTTTCATTACTGTTCTTTTATTTGAGGATAGTTTTGATTTTCATATGAAAAATAGTTTTGTTTAGGAATATTGTCTTATATAGTGCAGAAAAGTGTTTGAAATTTGCATCTTACTTGACCTTCAACAAGTTGGTTTCTATTTCTAAAACTTTCCTTAACTATAACAAGCCAATTTATGAATGTAATGTTTATTTAAAATTTTTGTTTCAAATATTTCAAGAAGTGAATATGTCTTACTTTGTGAAGCGCTAGAAAGCGGATGAAGCCTACTAATTTAAATATAAATTTGGAGCAAAGAAATTGGCAGTCTATGTAATTTAAATTTAATTTAAAGGTTCAAAGAATGTGTTTGCTATAAAAAGTTCTCATTTAAAGCTCATATAAGGTATTGGCTGCAAAATATTTTAATAAAGAACAGAAAAGTGGAGATTCAGGTTGGAATATTTTAAATTTTTGTTTTATTATTTTCTTTTTTGTGTTGATCTAATTTTTATCCCTGAAGACTATTTTGGTTTAAAATTAATTCTGTGCATGAACATCACCAATCAGGTACCAATGACAGGCATATCAATGTTGTCATATGAAAGCTTTTTATTCTAGATTCTGTCATCTTTATCTTTTAATCTGGCAGCAAGGCCTCTGATCAGGAGATTGGAAGTTTTGAGAAGTGTGAAACCACCTCTTAATTGCTGTTGTTCCCAGGTCTGCTCTGACCCAGGAGGGTAACACTTGGTAGGGTCCCAGCTATGGGTATGTAAAGAAGCTCCAAGCAAAAATCAAAACAGAAGGAAAGTATAAAAAACTTATTTATAGTGAGATTACTAGAATATATTTTTCTAAAACAAAATTACTAACAAATACATTTTTATAGTAAGAATTGAAGATATAATATACATTATCAAAAAAATAAAAAAACAAAGAAATTATGTTTTTACTCCTTGTTTGATTTTGCAAAAAAAAAAAAAAAAGTACTGCTAAGGAATTATAATTTAATCATGGAAGGAAGGCCTCAAGAAAGAAAGAATGAATGAATGAATGAATGAATGAATTAATTAATTAATGAATGAATGAATGAATGAATGAATGAATGAATTAATTAATTAATTAATTAATTCCAAATAACAACCAGCATTCATATATATATGATTTTTAATGTTCAAGATGTTAAGCTCAAATAATTAGCAACACCATAACGGAATTTCTATGGATATTTTATTATTGTAGAACTCGCTATGAGCTTATTCAATCATTAACCTAAGAATTAAGATTCATCATAAATTTTTAATACAAAAACCTTGAAATTTTCATGGGACTTTCTAGCCATTAATATTGTTATAGTTATTATAATTATGAATTGAATATGGAGTTTGAATTTTCATATTTAGATTTTCTCATTAAATAACCCATAGAGGTGTTGATATGCCACTAGGCAAAAACAACCCAACCAAACAATTTATCTTTCAAAATAAACCCAAGGAATAATTTTAAGAAATATGTATTGAAAACTGACTTCATTCAGAACTGCTATCTTCATTTGTATGATTATTAAATCTTTGTGAAGAATGGATTCCTTTTTCCAATGGTTGTGTGAAAGCTGTTATTCTTAAATCATAACTCTGGCCATTCGCCAGAATCAGGAACTACCAATTTAATTGGGAATTATCTCAATTTGTTTCCACTCTTCTTGGGTTGTTATCTCATGAAAGCCTTTCCTTTTAATCAAAATCTACCCGAAGACAAGCTGTGAAATGACAGCCCATTTCTGCTTTTATATCTACATTATAAGTACACTTTTTCTTTTCAGTTTTCTAGTCATATACTTAATTCTTTTATGTTGTTGAGGGAAATCAGACTTGGAATGAAATAAATTTGCTTAACCATAGATTTCGTTTGGCTTTGAGATGTAAACGAAAATGCCTACTGATTAAGCAAAAATGAATTTTAGATTTTCTTTTATTCTTCATTTAGATTTACACTTTCATTAAAAGGTGATGATTATTCCAAGCATTTTTTGACGGCAATTATCTGCCTCTTTCCTATTTTCGATACATTTCAGTCAATATTTTTTAACCTTCAAATATATTTTCAGAAATCACTAAGTATTTCCGATACTCCAATAGAATTATTCTAAATTCTTAGACTTTTTTTTTGTTTTTGAGTTGAACAGGTCACAACCAAGAAATTTAAAGTGAAAATAGTATATTCACACAAGGCAATGCTCTTTTAGATTCTGCAAAGCTGAATATTGCCCAGCTTTCCAAAAAAAAAATAAACATTTCAAAGACAACAAATTAGTGGAAATACTCCCAGGTTTTTCAGAGATTAATACGAAAGGAAATTTGTTGCTGATCCTTTAAAATGAGGTGAAAGAAAACAATAGAAAACAATATTCAAGCAAAGATAATTTCTAAAAAGCAATAAAAAGTGATGCAGAGTAATGTTAAAGTTAAAACATTTGACAAAATCAATGAATGAAAACCTGATGAATTTAATATATTGAATGATGGAAGACAGCAACAAACAAAAAAAAGACTTGAGTAAAAAATTTATTGCCAAGTTTATTTTTGTTAAAGAAAATACATAGACAAAAATAAGTTCACAGAGCGTCAGCAAAAAATATCTCTGCATGTTAATGTAGAGGGTGAGAAGATCGTTGTCCTGAAAAATACAGTTTTGGTAGCCACTGAAGAGTGTTGTCCTAAAAACGACAATTTTCTAGCAGCTGAAAAACATTATCCTAAAAAAAGACAGGTTTGCAGTTGCCGGAGAGCGTTGTCCTAAAAAAGACCGTGTTCTAGTCGCCGGAGAGTGTTGTCCTAAAAAAGACTGTGTTCTAGTCGCCTGAGAGCGTTGTCCTAAAAAAGACTGTGTTCTAGTCGCCGGAGAGTGTTGTCCTAAAAAAGACGGTGTTCTAGTCGCCGGAGAGTGTTGTCCTAAAAAAGACGGTGTTCTAGTCGCCAGAGAGCATTGTCCTGGAAAAAAGACTGTGTTCTAGTCGCCGGAGAGTGTTGTCCTAAAAAAGACTGTGTTCTAGTCGCCGGAGAGTGTTGTCCTAAAAAAGACTGTGTTCTAGTCGCCGGAGAGTGTTGTCCT